AATAATTTTATCAAGACATTACTTGTGAGCACAGGAGAATCAAAAAAAATGGTTAAATTTTTAACAAAAGCATAATGATTTTTGCTTTCAAAGCTTTTCATAAAGATTATATAAGATAAGAGAAAAGGATAGTAATCTATAATAATGAGATTAATTCTCAATTTTTCTAAAAATTAGAAGTTATTTTTTAATAGTCAATTTTTATATAAATTATATAAAATTTCTTAATTATAGAACTTAATTTTATAAACTTTTCAGTTTACAATAACCATAAATTCGTAGAATAGAATAAATTTTGATAATTAAGTAAACTGAAAAATTATTCCCATATATTTTGTAAATTGAAAAAACAATCTGTAATCTAGAAAATCTTGTTTGACTGCTGTAAAGAAAAATTTTGATATCAATTGAAAATAAACATATTATTAAAATGAATTTAAATAAAAAATAGTCTTATAATTAAAATTTATTGTTATTTGTCAATGAAGCAATTAAAAATGTAAGTAAAAAAGAGTTATTAAGAGGATTTGAAGTAAAAATCTCATTTCAGATCATATACATTGTAATCTGATCAGGAATCTATATTAGAAAAGTTAAATACTTCAACTGTTAAAATATTAAATGAAATGTAATAAGTAAAATCAAAGGTTACAGATGTGGATTCTGATTTTTAGAATAGATAAAAATCTTATGAAATAGAGAAACAAAAAAAAATTTTGTAAATGAAAGAAGAATAATTGAAGATTGAATAAATGCAAAGTAAAGGCAAACCAAAGATAAACAAGACATAATAAATATAGGATATGATTAATAATTATATGGAAGCTTCAAAAAATAGCAAGTTTGGTGATTTATTACTAAATAAAGAAAAGAATTTGTAATAAGAATATACATCAGAAATGAGACTTGAGAATTTGAGTAATCATGAAAACAATGACCCAGCAAGAATAGCTACATAGACATTAGAAAGCACATAAATATATAATGAGTAAAGCAATACAAGAAAATCGAATTCTTACATTCCAATACATGAGAGAGTTAAATTTATAATATAAACAAAAAATGATAAAATTTAAGAATAGAAACAATAATAATAATAAGAAATTGAATAATATTATTAAGGTTTATCATTTCAACCTTTAAGCACAAAATCATAAAATATTAAATTTACCCAATAAGAAGCTGATGCATTTGTAAGTAATTAATTGAAATGGAATCAATAAAGGGAGAGATGGATATATGAATAATAATTGAAGAAATAAAATGACACACCTAAGTATTCTTACAGACCATCAATAAGTCCATGGCCTGTAAGATAACCAAGTGTTCAGAGAAAGTAATCTAAATCTATTAATTTATCATTCTTCTAGCCAACAGTTTTTAAAACTGAAACTTCACCTAAAAAAGGTGAAAAATCATCCTTTGTCTTTCATACAGACTTAAGAATTGCTAAAAGAAAAGAAAAAGAACAAAAAGAATAAAAAAAGTTTTTAAAATGAAAAAAATTACAAAAACTTGAATTCTGCGATTTATTTTTAATTTTATAAATACTTTTAATTGTGATTATTATTATTAATCTTAGATTTAAATATAAAGCTTAAATTTTATTATTTTAAATAATAAATACTGCATTTGGTTGATCTCATCCAGAAGTCTTTTTGATGATTTTAATAATTTTGTTTAAACAATATAACAAATAATTTAAAGAATGTTAGTTATTTACGAATAAATTATTAACTCTAATATTTAGTTATTACAATTATAATTATAAATATAGAGCTCAATAATAAATTTAAGGTGTAATCCAAATTTATTTATCATCTCCATCCTCAAGTTTTTATCATTTCTGTTGGTATATTCTCTTAATTTTGTCAATCTTTCTATTTTCTAAGTTAGATCTACTTTTTTCTTATTTCTTTCCTTGAATGAGATCTCTTCTTGAAAATAAGCTATGGGATAGGTATAATCTTTATTATTGGCATGATACTTTGATTTTAAAGGATTTGAAACTTTATACATAATATTTTTAGTTTTAAAAAAGAAGGAGGAAGAAAAATATATTAATTACAATAGAATGAGATCACTAATAAATTATCTAATAATATATAAATATATAATAGTGTAATCATTATGGATTTACGATTATTAGTGCTTTAGAGTGAAAGTAAGAGGTATTCAAATTTATTTTTTCTAAGAATCTTCTCTACATTATTGAGCTGTGACCTAATGTATTATATATATTATTACCAATTCCTTACATTAGTTTTACACCTCTCTTGACATCAAATTTGCAAGGTGCATGAGGTAAAGCACTTGCTATGTAGTTACTTTTATTTATATAGTGTCTATATGGAAGGTCTAATTGTTATCTCTAGCTTTATCTATTTAATTATTCTCCATGTTCTTGAGCAAAAGACAGTTTCTTATTTTTAGAATGACTATCATGACAAAGGATGAGTCCCATTGAATTATTGGCTAAAATTATCTTATTTAATTGAATCATTTTATAGAGACATTTTATATGGTGATAAATATAAATTTTAATAAAATATACTAAATAAATCTTATTTAAACTAATTAGATTTATAATTAAACAAAGCTATTCAAATTGAATTTAAATAAGACCCAAACCTAATTTATTTTATCAACATCTATCTTCTCTATAGTTTCAGATCAGTGGGGTAGAGTTTCTATATAAAAAGAAAAATATAACATAAAATATAATTGAGAACATGACGAATTTCCTTTCAAATTACAACATCTGACGATTCTATTTAATGGAGCCTAATATAATTTTATTAAATTTTAGACCTTTCATCTCAATTATAGCAAGGAAGAATGAAGTAAATTTGATTCCAATATATAAAGCATTTCTATACTTTTTTTAAAAACTCAAAAATTTTTGGAAAATTCATATATTTCAGGGGAAATGCATCCTTTTTGTGCTCATTACTATAACTGAATAAATCAGATTACTGCCTTTAAATATTTGATAAAAAAAAGCCATAGTATTATTCTTGAATTAATATAAAAAGTATTATCTATAATATGTATTATGGCAAAAATATAAGCTAGCCATTACAGTTCTTGTTTATTCAAGTTAAGAAAATTTTAATATATTCAAGAACCAAAAGTCTTAGTTAAGGATCAATTAAAAATAAAAATTATCTTATTGTCAATACATCTAAAAGGATTTTGCATGTTTGTAATTGAATTACATAAATTTCTGCATCCCAACTATGTTAATATTTTCTTGACTAATTTTATTGCTGAAAAAAAATAAATACAACAAGAAATTCTTAAATAATTCTTAAGTAATTCTAATAATATAAATTATTAACATATAATAAATATATAGAGAAACTGTGTAATAGTTAAAATTTAATTAATAATAAGTTAAAAACTGTTAATCTATTAGTTTGGAGATGGAATAGATGAAATTGAAAGTTGAGAATATATGATAGCAAGAATATGATTGAATTAGATGTTAAATAAGTTATTCATAAATAAAAAATTAAATGTTAAATCCAACCAATGCCAATAAGCTTTCAACATCTTCTTAGGCTCTTTCTAAATCAGTTCATTTTTCTCTTGGTAATTCACAAGCTCCGGTGAGTTTTAGTGATGTAAAGCCAGTTTCTGGAATATAAAGATCAGCAATTGATCATCCATAGGTGGGATAAGTTACAGGAATTGATTGTGGAATTCACATGAAATAATTAAAAGGATTTTGCATAGAATAGAAATGTATTCATTAAAGAAGAAAGCTATGTGTTGGGTATTTGATAAACTTATGTATGTTAGATGTTTATGGGGACATACTTGCGTTCATAAAGTATAAGTTCCTGAATTTGTAAAATTGTTAACAGACAAATTAGCAATAGCTGAGTTTGACTTTTTTGATAAAGTTTTGAAAGTTGTTAAGAAAGATCATTTATAAAATGAAATTGATGAAATGTTTTTGAAAATAAAAATGGATTTTGATAATCATCTTAATGATTTATACTCTTAATTCATGTATTGGACAAAACATGGAATGGGTGAAGTAATTAAGAAAGGATTTTTGGCTGATTTTTTATTGGATGATAATGTGATTGAATAAATAATGGAATTGGTATTAAAGGGGAGAGGTAAATAATAAGGAAAATAAATTAGCTATGGAAGCTGAAGATGAAACAATTTAAACATGTGTAGAATTAATAAATGCAGATCCATAGGAAATTAAATTATTACCATAATAATTATAGTCAACTCTTGTAGAATGTGAAGAAGTGATTCGTTAAACACTGCATTAATTGGAACAAAGTTTGGTGACATTTAAATCAACTCCATTCGATTTTAAGAATATAAAAGTAAAGATTATTAAAAATAAATATTAGGAAGGAGTAGAAATACCTAGATTAAGAATTCCAGGAACTTAGGGTAATATATAAGGAGGAGGAGGAGGTTTTGGATTTGGTGGTGGTTTCAGTTAAATTCCATAGACTAATTTTATTGGAACAGCCAGTTAACTACCAAGAACTAGTGTTCCTCCTACAACCACTCATTTTTAAAATAGATTTGCATCTGGATTGGCATCATAATTAAATGCAAAATTATTTATTGATGCTAGAGATTTACATTAGAGTTAGGTTTGGGCTGTATGTAAGATTAGTCCATAGGTAATCGCTACAGGAGATTGGTAAGGAAATATAAAGATTATTGGATTAACATTGGAAGGTTAATACTAATTTATGTAATCTTTGAATCATGGGAAGAATGTCTATTCTTTATTGTTATCAGATACAACTACTTTGATTTCTGCTGGTTAAAATTAAAAAGATGAATGGACAATAAAGATTTGGGATTTAGAGAGATCATAATTGATTAAAGAATTGAAAGGCCATATAAATTATATATTTTCATTGACTCAACCAATTCCAGGGACATTAGTGTCATGTTCATATGATGAAACTGTTAGAGTCTGGAATTTATAGAATGGATAATGTACAAAGGTTTTTAAAGAGTTCAAGACATCTTTTAATGATTTGCTTTCTTGGAATCAAGAAGAAGTTATATGTTGTTCAGATGATAAAGCTATAAGACTTTTAAATATTTAAACAGGAGAAATGAAAATGTAATTATTTGATTCTTGTTTTGTTAATGGAATAGCAAGAGTATCTTAAAATGAAATAGCTGTTGGTAATTTTAAAGGAGAGATTTTAATAATCAATGTTACTGAATAAAAGATTGTGAGAAGAATGGGTTCCCATAAGAGTTTTGTTTGGAGAATTAAAGTATTTTATATAAATATTGTAGATGATAGATAAAGATTTGATTGCATCAGCATCATTTGATAAAACTATAAAAATTTGGGAATGGTAGAGTGGTTAATTAGTTGCTAGTTTAGAAGGTCATCAAGATATTGTTAGATCAATTGAACTTATTGAAGAGATAGGATTTTTGGTTAGCACTAGTGATGATAAATCTATAAAAGTTTGGAGATTAATTTGAATATATAAAATAACAATAAAGAACAATATATTTTATATTTAAAATTATTTATATATATATATAACTTATCAACTAAAGATATTTTCTAAAAATGTCTTCTTTTTTTCTTATGGTTATTTCTAAATTTAAACTGGTTTAGTTGGTGGTGACTAGGAATATATGATAAATAAATACATGTCTTCTTGGTTAACTGACTGGTCTTCCTTAATAAGGAGCTTGATTATAAATAGGAGCTATTCTGGATGGATAATAACTTGGTTAAACATATGATTAAGCAACATATGGTTATTGGATTGGAGCAACATATTATTATGGAACTTGTGCAACATATTGTTATTGAATAGGTGCAACATATTAAGGAACTTATTGAACAACTGGTTAAACAACTGATTAAACAACTGGTTAAACAACTGGTTAAGCAACAACTTATTATTAGTGAACCACTTATCTTTCAACTGGATAATATTCAACTCTGTCTTGATATCTATCTACAGGAACGTATTCTAATTGTTGTTATGTTTTAATAATTTACCTGTAACTTTATCATAAAAAACTTATGGAATATATTCTGTCTAATATTCCACAGCTTAATACTCAGTGACATATTTCTCTCTTGGTACTTGAATTCTTTATCTGACTTCTTCATATTCAATCACTGATTTCTCATAAGGAATGTATCTGAAAATAATATTTGAATTTTAATTCTTACTCAATTCTACTTTCACCCTTAATTACTTATTAAGCTGGTTAGACAGCAACTGGTTGCACTGCCACTTGTTAAACTACTGGTTGAACTGCCACTTATTAAGGAACATATTAGACTGGAGCAGCAACAACTGATTATTAGACAGGATAATAAGATGGACTTGCAAATGCAACTGGTGGTGCATATGTTCTTGGTGGTGAATATGCAACCGGCACTTAAGGAGCATTCTATACTGGTTAAGGTGGTCTTTGAGATGCAGGATGATTACTCATTTTTTGAATATTAATATTAATTATTTCAAATACAATCGTTAATTATTTATACATTTATAATAACACTATGCTAATTTATATTATTTTATTTCATTCTTAATAAAATTATTTATAACCATTTTTACATTAAATTTCATAATTTATATGTGTATATTAATAATACAATTTAATTTATAATTATAAATAAAACTCTATTATAAGTGTTAATAGAATTATATTAATAAAAAAGCTACTCCATCAAATATAAATTTTTAATCAACAATGTCTTAATTAAGAGTTGTTTTATTAGGAGTCCTTGGCAATGGAAAAACATCTTTATTTAATAAAATTACTTCAGCAAATGAACCTGTAACTTATGGAGGAAAATCAGTCACAAAATAAATTGTTATTGGACAATCAATGCATGGAGAATTTGAAATTGTAGATACACCTGGATTTGAAGCAAGAGAAGATAAATTACTACATGCAGCTGGAGTTATTGCAGCTTTATCATAAGGAAATGTTAATAGAATACTTATTGTTGTTAAATGCGATAGAACAGATTTGATGATAAAGAATATTAAAAAAATAATAGGTACAATATAGAGATACAGAGATTTTATAACTATTGTTGTTTCCTATTGGGATGAACTAAAAAGAAATTATATTCAAAATTAAAAAAAAATAGAAGAGCTAAAATCAGAATTAAAATAAGAGATTCTAAACAATTTTAATGTTTCTTCTGTTATATTTTCTTCAATTGATGATGATCCTAAAACTATCACTAAAGACATTATAAACATTATTGTTAATTCTCGATTTACAAATATTAAATTATTAGAATCAGAAATTTATAGTCAATTTGATTTATTAAGTTTAGATGATGATAACGAAAAAGAATATAATTCATTTATGAATAAAATTAAAAATGCATTTCGAAAAATATCACTAAATTGTATTAAGTATATAAAAAAATAAAATGTTAATGATCCTGATTTAATAGATAAATTACATTTCTTAACATTAGCAANATTAGACTGGAGCAGCAACAACTGATTATTAGACAGGATAATAAGATGGACTTGCAAATGCAACTGGTGGTGCATATGTTCTTGGTGGTGAATATGCAACCGGCACTTAAGGAGCATTCTATACTGGTTAAGGTGGTCTTTGAGATGCAGGATGATTACTCATTTTTTGAATATTAATATTAATTATTTCAAATACAATCGTTAATTATTTATACATTTATAATAACACTATGCTAATTTATATTATTTTATTTCATTCTTAATAAAATTATTTATAACCATTTTTACATTAAATTTCATAATTTATATGTGTATATTAATAATACAATTTAATTTATAATTATAAATAAAACTCTATTATAAGTGTTAATAGAATTATATTAATAAAAAAGCTACTCCATCAAATATAAATTTTTAATCAACAATGTCTTAATTAAGAGTTGTTTTATTAGGAGTCCTTGGCAATGGAAAAACATCTTTATTTAATAAAATTACTTCAGCAAATGAACCTGTAACTTATGGAGGAAAATCAGTCACAAAATAAATTGTTATTGGACAATCAATGCATGGAGAATTTGAAATTGTAGATACACCTGGATTTGAAGCAAGAGAAGATAAATTACTACATGCAGCTGGAGTTATTGCAGCTTTATCATAAGGAAATGTTAATAGAATACTTATTGTTGTTAAATGCGATAGAACAGATTTGATGATAAAGAATATTAAAAAAATAATAGGTACAATATAGAGATACAGAGATTTTATAACTATTGTTGTTTCCTATTGGGATGAACTAAAAAGAAATTATATTCAAAATTAAAAAAAAATAGAAGAGCTAAAATCAGAATTAAAATAAGAGATTCTAAACAATTTTAATGTTTCTTCTGTTATATTTTCTTCAATTGATGATGATCCTAAAACTATCACTAAAGACATTATAAACATTATTGTTAATTCTCGATTTACAAATATTAAATTATTAGAATCAGAAATTTATAGTCAATTTGATTTATTAAGTTTAGATGATGATAACGAAAAAGAATATAATTCATTTATGAATAAAATTAAAAATGCATTTCGAAAAATATCACTAAATTGTATTAAGTATATAAAAAAATAAAATGTTAATGATCCTGATTTAATAGATAAATTACATTTCTTAACATTAGCAATTAAATAAATAGCAAATGAAGAGGTTGAAAAATTTGAAATTAAATACGGAGAGTATATGAATGAATTATATGATACAGATGGCATCAATATTTAATATTTAAATCATATTTATCTGAAAAAAGAAATTAGTTATGATCTTGAAAGGGTAATTATGGAAGCATAAAAAAAAATGAAAGAATCTAAGAATCATTGTTTTAACTGGATAAAATAATGTCCATTTTGTGGATTAGTTTGGATAAAAGTTATTGGTTGTGATAATGAAACTACATGTGGAAATAGAGTTAACTCAGACTATGATGATTTATTAACAAAAGTTAATCTTGAAAATAAATTTAAAATAATTGTAAAAAATAACTTAATAGATATTGAGATTGAATAATCAAATCAAAATTAATGTGAGTAATCTTCAGAAATAGATTCTGATCAATTCTATTTAAAAAACTTATATATGCTATATAATTCAGTCAAAGATGATGTGATTTTTTAAAATTAATATGGAACGATTTTCGACATAAATACTTTTCATTAATTAATTTGTAGTTTAATTGATCTAACCTTCTTTCGACAATTTTGCCTTAATATTAATGATTTAAATAAAATAGAATCTCAAAATTAATGGAAATAGTTTCTATCATAAAATGGTTATTATAGCCAGATTCAAGATAAATCTTTGGGTTGCGGAAAAAAAATTGTGTGGAAAGATTTGCCTCCTCTAAGTGGACCATTATTAAAAGAATTACTATCAACAGAACTAATTGATTACTTTAATGATTAAGAATAATTATTGAAAGATGAAGCAAATGATATTGCAAAAGAACTTGAGAGAACATATAAGAACCTTGTTAATTAAGCAATTAAGGAATAATTAAAAAATGTTAAAGTAATACCTAAGCAAAAATAGTAAACCTAAGAATAATAACAATAAGATCCATAATAATTTTAGGAAGGAAATATAGTTGAAAATTATAAAGTTCTAATTAATAAAACAAAATAAGAGTAATTAAATGTAAAACGAAGATACAGTATTAAAATGATGACAGATGAAAATATCTATTCAGAGGCTGAAACTAATGATACTTCTCGTACACAAATACAATAATGATAGGAACTAGAAACTAAATGAATTATAAATAATATTTAATTAAATCTGTTTTAATAATAGAAAAATATTTTTTCTAATCTCCTAATAGAATTTATACATATATTTTTCTATTAGAAACTAAATAAAATTATAAGGTTTTCTTTTTCTCTGATATATTAATATATTCATATTATGGAAACATTAAGAGTAGTACAATTAGGGGCAATAGGTTCTGGTAAGACAGCATTTTTTAATCGTTTAACATCATCAAATGAACCTGAAATTTCTGGAGGTCCTTCAGTCACAAAATAAGTTGTAGTTGGCTATATTACAGATACGGACATTGAGATTATAGACACTCCTGGTTTTGAGAGTGAAAGTGACAAATTATTACATGTAGCTGGTGTTGTTGCAGCATTATCATTAGGAAATGTTAACAGAATATTAGTGTTTGTAAAATTTGAAAGAGATGATAGAATGATAAGTTCAATAAGACAAATACTATCTCCAATTAAAAGATATAAAGATATTGTAACCATTATTGTTACACATTTGGATTATTCTAGAAATATTAATGAAGATTAAGATCGTTTTTCAAAAAGAATAAAATAAGATTTTAATCTAGACTCAATTTTATTTTATTCTAATACAGATTCAAATTGTTAAACTATTGCAAAAGGAGTTGAAGAAATCATTACTAAGTCTTAATTTAAATCAATTTAATTATAAGATTCAGAAATATTTAGTTAATTTGATCTACTTTAATTAGATGATCAAAACTAAACTCTATTAGAAAAAAACTAAACAGTTATTTTACGTTAATTCAGAAAAATTGCAGGAATATATAAATTCTATATTGAATAAATAGATTTAGAAAATCCTTAACTTATTGATATTTTACATGAATTAACTTTCGATATTAAATCAATAGCAAATAAATGTGTTGAAGAATTTGAAAATTTACATGGAGATGTATTGAATGAATTTTATGATGTATAAGGAGTAAACATTAGATATTTACATCATATTTATTTAAAGAAATAAATTAAATTAGATCTTAATAATGTTATTATTTTAGCCTAAAAGACAATGACAAAATCAAAATATCATTGTTATAATTTCATAAAATTATGTCCAAATTGCAAATAGCCATGGATAAAAGTTGTTGGTTGTGATGGATTAACTAAATGCGGGAATAGAATTTTGCCTTTTGAAAAAGATGAAATTATTGATTAGGCATCAGCTCCTAAAAAATATTAATTTATGATTGAAGACAATCAATTAAAAGTTTAGGCTGAGGATAATTAAATAAATAATTTAACAGAAAGTGAAGAGTTTAGTTATAAATTAAATGAATTATATAAATATTTTAGAAAGGATCGACATTTCTAAGAATATTTGGGATAAGATTTTTCAAAAGATGCCTTTTTGTAATTATTATAAGAAAAATTTGGTAAAATATTGAAAGGTACTATTCTAAAGATTAATGATGATACTAAAGGAAAAATTATCTAATAATTAAAAGTTTATTTTTATAGTTTATTCAAAGTTTCACTAAAAAAAGAGGATTAAGATAAATTAATTGGCTGTGGAATCACATTTAATTGGGCAGAATAGCCTCCCCTTAGAGGACCAGAATTAAATGAATTACTTTCATAAGATTTGATTGACTTTTTTAATAGAGATTAAGAAAAATTGTTAAAAGATGAAGCATACTTTTTAGAACAATCATATAAAAAATTAGTTAAAGATGCCATTGAGGATTAAAAGCATTAAAAAAAAATATTAAAATCTAAAACTCAACCTAAAGGTCTATAATTATGAGTGTACTTTTAAATTTATATCTAAATTTATAAATTAAAAAATTTATGATTTATTCTATCATCTATTCATGATTAAAAAATGGTTTTATAATAAAGAATTACCAATAGCCAATTGTTTTCCAATTTAATGAATTTATATATTTATTTTATAAATTAATATATCTTACTCTAACTTTAAGAGAATTTGGCTTACTTTGTTTAATAGTGTTATTCTTTCAAGTTATGATTTCTAATAGATTTTCACGTGTTATATATGTGGATTTACAATCCTAATAGAATTATAAAAAATAAATGAGTGGTTTAAGAGTTGTTCTTTTAGGAGTAATTGGATCAGGCAAAACATCTCTATTTAATCTTTTGACATCAAACTAAGAACCTATTAAATCTGGAGGCCCATCTGTTACAAAATAGATAGTAGTAGGAACTACCAATATTGGTGAATAATTTGAAATTATAGACACCCCAGGCTTTGAATCTGATGAAGATAAACTATTACATGCAGCTGGAGTAGTTGCTGCACTTACAATTGGAAATGTTAATAGAATTTTGGTAATTTCGAAATTTGAAAGAGATGGAAGAATGATGAATGCTTTGTAATAAGTTATAGCTCCTATCTCAAGATTTAGAGATAAAATAACAATTTTAGTTTCACATTGGGATCTTTCATAAAAAAAAGAAGAAGATTAAAAAAATTTATAAAAAAAAATAAAGGATAAATTTAATATAGGATCATTTATATTTTATTCAAATAAAGATGATGCTAAAAATATCACTATATAAATTATCGATATTATTAATCAATCATAATTTACTTCTATTAAATTATAAGACACAGAAATATATAGTTAATTTGATTTATTAAGTTTGAATTTTGAGAATTAAACTAAACTAGATTCAAATAAAGAGAAAATTCTTAGGGAGTTTAGAAAGATCGCCAATATTTATATAAAATACATTAATGAATAAATAAATTTAAAAGATCCAAAAATAGTCGACATTTTGCATTATATGTCATTAGAAATTAAAAAAGTAGCAAATGATTCAATTGAACAGTTCGAAAAATAACATGCAGAAGAAATCAATAATTTTTATGATGATAATGGTAACAATGTTAGATATTTACATTATATTTATTTAAAAAAAGAAATAAAGAAAGATCTAGAGCATGTAATTTAACTGGCTTAGTCAAAAATGATATAATCAAAAAATCATTGTTTTTAATGTTTAAAGTAATGCCCAAATTGTAAATTAGTTTGGATTAAGGTTGCAGGATGTGATGGTGCAACTACTTGTGGAAAAAGGGTTTTTACGAAAAGTGATACTGTTTTGAAAAAATCTTCAACTTAGAGAAGATTTAATTTTAAAATATAAAAAGATCAACTAGTGGTGGAAGAAAATGAGTAAAATAACCAAACATCTAAATAAGATAAATTAAAAATTCCAAGTTTTAAGAAAAAATTTTATGAATATCTAAAGACTAATCTTAATTTTTAAGAGATTTTCGGGAAAATTCTAAGTTAAGATGAACTAGAAAATGTA